AGTACAAAACAGATCCAAATTCCCTGCAAGCCCTGATGAGCAAGTAGAAACCTCTGGGATTCCACTCTTCTGTGCCTGCTCATATGGCAGCATCATATTTGAGGGAGCACTGGAGCAGCAGCAATGAGAAATGAAAAGCAACTGAGATCACCCATATCGCAGGTTCCAGAATCGGACTCAGCTACCTCGTGGCAGTACAACGCACGAGGGCCCTTCAGATACTGAAACAAAACCATGAAAGCTGAGAAAGTTGTAGGGAATAAAGCATGTTTTGGTCTCCAAGAACTGAAAGTACTGGGAAAATACAGAAAATACTTAAAACAGGGAAACTAAGGAAAAATACAACTCCTCATGAATTTTAAGTACTTATCAAACAGTTATGAAACAAGACTTCAGCACTGTAGTTCTGATGAACACATAATGCATTTGTGTGCTTTTACCCTTTCACAGGGTCTTGAGAAGCTAAAATCATAGAATGGTTAGGCTGGAAGGGACCTTGATGATCACCAAGTTCCAACCCTCCTGCCATAGGCAGGGACACCTCCCACTAGAGCAGGTTGCTCAAAGCCCCATCCAAACTGGCCTTAAACACCTCCCGGGATGGGGCATCTACAACTTCTCTGGGCAACATGTGCCAGTGCCTCACCACCCTCAAAGTGAAAGATTTCTTCCTCGTATCTAATCTAAATCTACCTTCTTCCAGTTTGAAGCCATTTCCCCTCATCCTATCACTATATGCCCTTGTACAAAGTCCCTCCCCACCTCTCCTGTCGGTCTCCTTTAGCTACTGGAAGGATGAGCCAGTATTACATGTGCTGGTTATCTTTGAGACTAAGCAGCTTACAAGATAACTTTTCACAGGTACTCTAGAGCAATCATAAATCACAACAGTGCATAGCTTATGGCTGTCACAGCTATCCACAACCACATGGACTTCATTCTTTCCTAGGACTGAGGCATTCAGCTTCTCACTTATTTTTGAATAGGGTAGTTCAGACACAGTTGTGGTTGAGAAAAGTCCTTGATGAGTTTTGTCGAATACTTTTGGCTTCCATTAGTGCCGAAAGGAAGCAAAGCCAGCAGCAATCTCGCCCAAGTGACTGCATTAATAAAAACACCAACATGCAGATAGCAGTGGCAGCCGGCCGGCCAGGCCAGCGGACGAAGGCAGAATGAAGGGCTGCTACTTTCAGGAGCCGGAAATAGTAAACCTTAGGGAAAAAAAACAGGAAATCGTGAAGGCTGACTATTTTAGAATGATTTAATCCCAAATACTTTGCTCTAAATAAAAATCTATTTTAAAGAATGCTATTAGAAAGTTCTAAGACCACTTTTAATGAATACAAGGCAAAGACATTTTCAAGAGCTAATGTGTTAATGACTCATTCACAGGAACAGAGTCACTGTGACTGCAGTGTAATCAGGTACAGAGCACTCAGGGTATGGGAAATAACTGATTACAGAACTATGATTCACAAGAATGTAAAGCTGCTCCCATTTACTGTTTGAAGAAAGGCTGCTGGACCCTTCTACACCAGGTAGCTTAGCTCACAGGTTACAACGTCTCTCCTTTACGTTTTCATAAAAAGAAATCCATTACATTTCATGGTTTGGGGTTTTTTCTTGGTTGGTTTTTTTTTCCCCCTTTAACTTGTTTTAAATCAGGCATATTTTTCACTCATGTTCTAGGACAGGTATTAAATAAGTAAACACTGTAGCTTGGTAGGCTGGCACAGACTAAGTTCTTCACAAAGTCTGGACATAAGCACCTCATCCTTAAACAGCTGTGATTTGCTAGCAGCTGCTCAAAACCATTTCAGCAGTTATAGTTTATTACTTACACATTCTGATTCATTGCCAAAAATACTATTCTCAACAAATATTCCAATATTGATAAATTACAAACAGCTTGGGAAGACTGCAGTTAGGGTAACTTAAACATGCCAGATATTTTCATATACATGTGACTTAAGAGCAGAAATTAGTGAAAGTCAAAGTCAGTTTTATTCCCACAGGAAATGAATTTCTCATCTATAATATCATTGTGATAGTAAAACCCTAATGTTAAATCCCAAACTGCTTTCGTTCTGGACCTTAAGAATGAATGTTTTGAGACACAACTGTGAATTAACTTGCCAAGGGAAGATCAAAAGTCTCTATCCTTGGCTTCCAGGATTCAGCAAGAAGCCAAGCTCACCTGCTCTAGTGTTGGTGATAATCCTACTTCAAGCTAGAGACTGGACCAGGTTTAGCCTAACAGAGATCCTCCAGAGAGCCCTCTCAAGCACCATTCCTATTATTCTGTGAATACTAACATGCATTAATAGTTAAATCAGCTCCTGAGATTATAAAGACTATAAATATTGTATTTGAAAAGCGTTAACCCTCACAAAAAACCTGCTCACTATGGCAGACTGAAATGGAAAGCTTCCAACACCCTCACTCTTACATAATCATACCAAACTGGGAGGCAGAAGGAATGACACGCACTATTCAAATGAAGTCATGCAGCATCCCAATATTAATCAAAGGACAAGAAAATTCAGTCACAATTAAATTGCTTTATTGATATAAACTCATCTGTAATCAGTACTTCAGTTTCATTTTAATTCCAGCAACGATTACGACAAAATTAAGACATGCTTTTAGTGCAGAAATGTTTAGTTAAATGATCCTGGACATGACGTAGCCAACAGCCAGCTAGTCTGGACAAAGAGAACCGAGAAGGATGTAATGCACATCAGCTTATAGGAAGCACAACGATGCAGCATGTATTCCTATCACCGAGATCCCAACATTCCATCTTAAAAACAGTGAAGCAAGAAGATAAGCAGTTCATGCAGGAAGAAATAAAAAGCCACACATGCTAAGGAATTTCATAAACTAGCTTGTTAATCCAGCAGAACTTAATTGTATTTGTGTCTGAGAACTGGCAAGGCAGGGTTTAAATTAAAAGTTAAGGATAAAGTTCCTTTGACAAGCTTTGGACCAAATTTCAGTTGGATTTGGTATCCAACTTACTATCCTGTATATACCTACAGCTCAGAGTCCAACCCTCATCCGCTTCACACAGTCATCTGTCAAAATGGTCTGCTAAGGAAAGCAAGGACACTGGTGTGAGCGTGGACCATCCTGTAACCCAGAAAACTTATGGCCACACTCAACTCTTCAAACAACTGGCTTGTAATACAAAACATTATTATGCCTCTAGTTCTTACAGAAACAGATATACAGTTACTTCCTTTGTCCAAAGACACTGAGCATTTCATGTATTAACAGTCTGTGTCCTGCCACTACAAGTATCTGAAGTATCATCTGAAAGTCAAATTAGGTTGTCTGCAGTGTCTATCTGACACACCCAAGCCAGCCTAGTCATACTTTTTTCCTTCTCAGGGAAAGTCTCTATAGAATTCTTAAATAGCAGCTGGAGGTCTGTGTTAAAGAACGTGCATAGAAATGCAGAGGGAGCGCACAGCTATACCAAGATAAGGAATCTGTTTATTTTCCAGAATTAGAAACTGAAAATAAAACCTACTAAAATATAAACTCTGATTAAAATTTTTTTTGAGTTTACCATTTAGAGACCAGTGCTGTTAAAAACAAAGTTTTGGAATAATTTTGGACATTCTGACTTCCTGGGGAATACAGTTTGCCTGACTTCTTTTCAGAAGCTTACTATAGTACCTATGCTTATGAAAATGTTAACCAGTAAGCCGCTTTTTCACCCAGCCTGTCCATTGACTCGGCAATTTGTATCTGAACAAAAGATTAGTTCTTTCTCTAGGTATCCACATGATCCTTTAACAAATGAATTAAAAAAAAATTCCTAAGAGGTTTGGACACACAGACCACCACATGGATAAAATTTGCAACATTAATGTCTCTGGGAAGCAAAATAACAAGAATTAAACAGACTAACCACGCAACACACAGAAAGGACAACTGGCAAGACTTAACAGATCTGCTGCTTAGGATATGGGAACAAACAGGTTTGGGACGCCAGTTACTGCACGAGCAATCCTCAGTGCGAGCTTCTCAGAGCTTACTACAGGGGTTTGCACAAAACCAGTCTAAGGTTACCTTCATTTACTGCTTCATGATATGATGCTTACATCTTTGTGAAAAAGATTTCTACCAGTTTAGCTAAATTTATACACATCCTTCAGATCAGTTAAGCTAGTGCAACACCTGGTGTAGACACTTTTATTGCCTCAGAGTAGAACTTAAAAAAGATGCACATGCATTTTCCTGCAGTAGTTTAAACATGTTAATTCAAACAAATAAACATTTAGTTGCTTTCCAGTTTTTTGATGAACGACTTCTCCACACCACCTCCAAAAATTTATTAGGAGGAAGGTCAACACATTTCAGGACAACCAACCTTTACAGATCACATTTCCATACAAAAAGCTCTTTTCCATTGCTAGAAGCTACTATTGTCAAAACCAGACACGCTTCCAAACATGCACCCTTCTCTCCAGTGAAATCAGTTCAGGTTTTAAGCCTCTATCTTGTCCCAAGAAAAAGTGACTGGCCAGAGAGAAACGCTTCATAGATCAGATTTGACCTATGATCACCAAGTGAACAGTGCTTATTTTAGAACAAAAATTTCCATGTAAATGCCATATTTCCCCTATAAGGCGTATTACTTTAGCAACACAGAAAATCACTGACAAGGGATCTAAACACTATCATTTATTCAACAATGCAACTTAAAGGCAGCATATTTGAGATCTCTCTGAAATTCATCACCATATTGAATACAGCAAACATTACAGCTAGATGAAATTATGAAAATGCACATTTCTGAAAGCAATGATACTATTTGTTTCTTCTAAAGTAAAAAAAAATAATCAACATTTCTTTAGCTATGTGTTTATCCAGCCTCTTCTGGGATTTAAATACAGCATCTCCATTAAGTCAATCCTACTGAGAGAGGTTTAATAAAGTTCAGTGTGTGATGAACATGCTCCTATGCCAACATCAGACTCTGTTAGGTTCTACTGGATTTGCCCCTCTTCCTTTAGCTTCACCTGTCTAAAGTCTTCCCTGACTTCTTCTAGCAGACTTGGCTTGAAAATTACATCCAGTGCTGTCATTGCCAAAGCTTTTGCTGTGCGCAAAGCATAGAACTGAGCATTCTGTGACCCTGCAGAAAAAAAAATAAGAGAAGTTTCAGGTCAGATTACTAATACTACATACAAACCATTAGTTTACAGCATAAGGCGTATTCTATACAATAAAATCTTCATATTTCAGTTGCAAGAACACTTTCTTAAAAATCTACTTGCACAAATGTAGCATGTCTATTTTCTGATGCCTCAAAACAAATTTTCACATGAAAGTAACTTTCTGCAAGTGATGTAAACAAGAAAACAAGTATTCACATTTTCATTTTTAGAAAATGCAGAGTTTTATACTGTTAGCTCTATTACATTTCCAGAGTACTGTGCTTTAGGAGTAAAAACTAGTTTTATCTTTTGGCTCATGTTTAGAAACTCTTCTGAATATGCTGCTAGAGATAATCCTTCTAATTTCTTCTCTCTAAATGGTATACTAAGTCAGGCTTTTTGTATGAGGAGTGGTCATCCTTCCCATATACATTTAACTTCAAACAAAACCAGAAATCCTACATTTGGTCAGCTTCCTTCTGCAACGCTACAATTAACCAAGTAAATTGTTTCAGGGTCCATATTCAGCTCAGATCCCATCATCCTTGTAGAAGGCAGCTCCATTTCTATACAGGTATTCACATGCAGCCACTTTCAGATCTAGTACTTCCACTTTTATACATTTGCTACACAGTAGCTTTGAATACCGTAGAAGCATATGAAAGCTTTAATCTTCTAATCTGAAATATTTATTTCTAGATTTGCTGTAGTGAAAAGTCAGCAACATGCATAAGGGTTCCAAATATAAATCTCTAACACTTTTCACGTCCACTCACCTGCAGCTTCTGTGTACTGCTCAGTATGATTTAATGCATCAGAGCCAATATAAAAATAAGGATGAAGCCCAGGGACTACAAATGTAACATTTCCAAAGTCCGTGGAACCTAGAAGCAGCACAGACATTTTCTTAATGAACAAGTGTTGAAGAGTTTTGAATGCTGTAATAAAATGTATGACAGATATTATCTCCAGCCCATATCTAAAACAGAGTATCCTTTGCCCCAAATACTAAAGTAAAACCATTTATAATGAGTCATTATCCATTCAAAAATCTCCCATCACAGATGTTTTCCCTAACTAGCCATCTTCAGATGCTGCTCTCCAGTGCGCTTCTGATCAATAATCATTTACTGGACTGCAAGGAAGATGTATCAGATCAGCATGTTCCTATTCCATTTACCATTAATTTTTTATCAAACATCTCCTGATAGTAAGCTGTTAATCCAGAAACAGTGAAAGCTGCAAACCTTGGAATTTTGGCTAGTTCAGCTATTTTCCTACTACAACGTTTAGATCCAGGCCCAACAGTTACTCCTTTCTACCAGTATGGAAATATTCAGCATTAGATAGCTGCCTCTGAAGTACGAACAATCTATCTTTAAACAAAAACAGACTGAAGACAACTATGTTTCCCTTTGTTTTTCAATTATTCTCAGTTATGGAAACCTTAACAGCACAAGCACTCTTGAAATAAGAAGACCAGAACTAAACTCCAGACAAAACACTAGTGCTCTGTAGACATAAAAAAAATATCTTGATAGCAATGCAGCAGATTTTAATGATGATTCTTTCATGCCTGACTAGGACTTTCAATATGTTAGCTAGTGATAGTACCTATCTCAAAGTACTATGTTATCAATTTAATGATACCATCCAGAAGTAGTAGATCCTTCATAGTAAATCATCCAAGAATCTGCAACTACTTCCTGAGTGCCTTTTTTTTTTTTAAACCCAAACAAGAAATCCACTCAGTATTTATTAAAATGACATTTAGAAGCTGGAGAAATCAACATGCCAGTTATTGTGAAATTGATACCAGAGGAATAATTGTTTCATAGCAGGGAAAAACAGGGATGACCAGCTAAGCCCTCAATTTTTTTCAGGCCAGTCAGAGCTGTAAGAATTTTTTTCTTTAGCAACAGCATATAAAATGACTAAAATGTTCCAAAGATCTAACGTTCTTTAGCAACAGCATATAAAATGACTGTTCCAAAGATCTAACATTATTTGTAACACATCAGGTAGCCTCCATATCATGATACTTTATGGAGACAAGGTATTGTTAATGCCTTAAGACTTAGTAATGAAGTGATTGAAGAATATAGATTTTACTTGGAAGCATATAGTTATTAAAAGTGAGTCCACAGAGCCTATATCATGTGACCAAAGAGGACAAGACTAACTTGCTATTTGCTCTGCCTACAGACAAACAGAAGCAGCAAAGCTTGTCCAAAAAAATGATCCTTTTCCTATAAATTCAGTATGCATTTTAAGAAAATCTAACTCTTGGCACAGCAACAAGTTATTTTTATTTTCAGTAGTCTACACTATTATCTGTTCTTTGGTCAGTCTGGAAAGACAAACCAGAAGTCTAGAAGTTCTGTCTACTCCAGACTCAAGTCAAGAATTCTAGACTTGCCTTACTGAGTCCTAATACACAAGCTGCTGGAAAGAGT